GGAGCAACAACAACAATAATATTTATAGTGGCAATAATACTATTTCCAAGGGCGCTCGTCGCGCCCGGCTTGCCGCGAGGAAGCCTGCGCTCACGCCCGCACTGCGGAACGTGGGAGACCCGTGCCCTCGGCGGCCTGGGTCGTGCCGGGGGGCACCCTGCTTCGGGGATCTTCTGACCCGGGTCAGTCCAAACCCGGGTCAGTCAGGCCTTGCAGAATCCTGCAAGATCCTGCACCCAAGCCCGGGTCAATGCGAAGGATCCTAAGATCCTGCAGGATCCTGCACCCAAGCCCCGGTCAGAGAGACCCTGCCCCTGCAGGATCCTGCAAGATCGGGCGCTCTGGCTGACCCCCGTTTGCATGGACCCCCGTCTCAAGGCTCCCGAACTGCTTAGCCGCGGATGGGGACCGGGTCGCTGATCACGTCGACGCCGCAGACGTACATGTCGCACAGCAGTCCTCCGGCCGCCAGGCCCCAGATCTCAGGCGTCTTCGGACAAACGATACGGATTTGATTCTGTGTGTTGTAGCATACAGTGACTCTCTCGGGTCCCCATCCCCTCACCCTTCCCCCCCCTCCTCCTCCTCCGCCTCCTCCTCCTCCTCCTCCTTATTGAGTTTGTCTGGCCCTTGTGGGCCCACCCACGCTGGGGGCTCTCAGACGCCCGCACTTTAGCTGTCCCGTCCCCCCTCCCCCGCAGAGTAATGCCGCTGCCTATGGTAAAACCTACTAATAGAGAGAGCCCTGGGCCCGCGCCACTTCTGTGAACAAAAACGACTTCGGAACTCTGGGAAGGCTCAGGTTGCGCACGGACACCCCCGCAGCCGCAGGATGTAGCGCCAACTTGCTTCGACAGGACCCCCAGGGAAGTCTGGACTGGCATTCGTGGGAAAAGCCACCACGATGACCATGACCAAAATGTCGCGGGATCTTGTACGTCGATCTTGGTCCTGGTCCAAGCCGGTCGATGTCAGTGCGCGAGGATGGTCCAAGAAGGAACGACAACCACAATGGCCGGCGACCGAATTCGAGACCCGCTTTCCACGTTCCATCTTGGTCATGGCCCTCGTTTTCTTAACCTCCTTATCTCCGCAGCCCCGCGCCGCCTGCAGCGGCACCCCCTGGGGCGCCGCCCGCCCTGGCGTTGGCGTGCTGAAGCCGTCCTGGGCTAACCTCGGGGGGCCTGCTGAGGCCAGCTGGGGCCACCTCTGTGAGCTGTCCGCGCCCTGCCCAAAGCCTGGGCAGCAGTCCTTCGGGCATCTCGTCGTCCTCCACGCTCTGGATGCAGAACCCATAGTGGATCTTACAGATGGGCAACCTGCCACGGAACTGACAAAGCATGCTCCGTGCGAGGGCATTGAAGCCGCGCACGTCGATGCCAACCTCAAGCCACTCTCCGTCTGGATCCTTGACGATGTAGCCGCAGTTGGTGATGAGGCACGGCTTCCCGTTGTAGGTATGGAAAAGGTCTGGCACGTGAACATCCCCCGGGTTGACGCACTTCGCCACCGCTTTGAAGAGCCCGCTCTGCCTGTCCTTCTTGATCCCCTTTGCAACCCGCGCAGCGAGAGAACGGTCCTTGCTGCCCGTCTCCCCAGGAGCCCCGCACGGGCCTGCGCAGAACTGCTGCCAGAGCTTGAGGCTGGCGGACATTTTGCCATTGCTGGCGGCGACAAGCGACTTCGGCGATATCTGGAAGATGCCGACGAAGCTGCAGCCCTCGTCCTTCCTGCCTCTGCCGAGGATGCCAGTCTGGTAGGGGAGCATCAAGTTGATGCACAGAATCCGCGGCACACCTAACTCCTTCTTCCAGTCTAGCTGACCGCCCGACCTGTCGCCCTCTGACCTGTCGGGATTCGGAAGATCGGACAGACTGACGATGCGGCCCATGATGTCTGTGATCTTCGTGTCAGCCTTGAGGGCATCGCAATAAATAGCATCGTAGAGACTGCCAGCCGAGTCGCACTTCTGGCCCGTCTTCAGGTAGTCTGGGCCGCAGCGAACCCTGAAGCCATTACCGTCGCCCTTCTTCCAGAAGGGCCCCTCGCTCGGCAACCCATGGGCCCTCCACTCGGGAAGCGTCTTGCCGAGCCACTCAAGGCTCCGCTGCGAGCTCCGGCTCCTGTCTTCTGGGGCCATGCACGGAGAAGGCTCGACGGTCCTGTCCTGCGTGTGACAGGCGGGTGCCGCAGGCGGAAGCTGCCCAGGAAGCCTGAATCTCTTGCCCCATAGCCAGCACGCCAACTTCTCGCCGAGAATCCAAGTTGCGTACTGCTTGAAATTACTGGCCTTCCTGTACTTCAGCCTCGTCTGTTCCCACGCCGCCGCAAAGAGCCAGTCGTGGGAGCGGTCTCCCTCGTTGCAGTCGAAGAAAGCGTCCCTGTAGAACGCGTCCTCGCCGAGCAGGCTGTTGTTCAGCTCGCAGCAGGAGCGGCTGTAACTGACGTCGACGAAGGATTGGTCGTCACGGGCCACGCAACAAGACTGCAACTGACCCATCCCGCGATCCGCCAGCCTCAAGCACGCGACACGGCCGTCGTGCTGGCTCCAGCGAATGTCCAGCCCGGCAACGCCCACACCGACCGCCCTTCACACCGCGCTGTTCAGCTGCTCAGAGGCGGCCCAGGGCCTATCGGGTGGACGCCCATCCGGGCAATAACTAAAGGGCCCTCCCCCTTCCATCCTCCGCACACCCACAAACTGTCTTCGTCGACTATCTCCCTGTCCCCTTGTCCATCCCGGGAGAGGGTGCACCAAAGCGGGCCTCAAACAGCAACGTGGTGGTCTGAAGCTGCCCCACCCCATATCCCACAAAAGCTACAAGGGGATACTGCACTAGAAGCAGGTTTGGGGAACTCAACGAATGCATTTACTAGAGCACGTTGCGTACACATATGTGAATGTCGAACGGACGGGAACATGTTACGAATATTTTTATATACACACTTGACACTCGTACGTATGGATCCAATGATACAAAGATACACGCAGACCTATGCATGTATGTGTGTATATGGATCTAGCATCAGCAATACAAACAAGCGCGCGTGCTTCGCGCGCGCGCTCCAACTCTAGCTAGGTTGGGCGCCAGGGCATCGTGCGGAAGAGGGGCCCTGCCAGGATTAACCAAATCGCAAAGTACTGATGGTGTGTCAAGATCAGATTGGTGCCTTTTGTGAACGCAGAGGCGTGGAACTACCGTGTACCGTGCCGAAGATTGGGCTGTGCTGTGATGGTCATGCCGCAATAGATTTCGCTGTGCTCTAAAATCCGCCGACCCTGTCGGCGTGTGTGGGATGTCTGTCTGGTCCTGTCGACGGGACGCCTTTTCTGTTTATCCTTTCCCGTCGGGGGTGAGAGAGCACTCTGCAGTCGTAGGGGGGAGGAGTCCAGGGGTTAAGGGAAATCGTCCCACGTCGTAGTCACGTTAAAGGGAAGCCTCTTCCGTTTGCCCCTTCCTGGCGGGGGGGGGGGTCCCAGGGGGGAGGGAGGGGGCGGGGGGAGGGTCAGATTCGCATCCCCCGTTTGCGGCTTTTACAAAGGTGCGCTGGAGAAGGGGGGGGGTCGCCACGACGGATCCGCAAGAGCGCCTCTAGACGGCCCAAGCCTCACAAGAAAGCCCAAGAACGTCTAAGGACGGCCAAAGGGGGCCCTCAGACGGCCAAAGGACGCCGCACGGATACGTTTCCCCCTCGAGCGTCCCCGAAACCATGAAAAGCTGTTTCCAAAAGACCCCATAATGCCACAACGCCTCCTCCTCCTCCTCCTCCTCCTCCTCCCCACCCCCTGCTCCCCGTCCTTCTGCTCCTCCTCTGCCTCCTCCTCTGCCTCCTCCTCCTCCTCCTCCTCCTCCTCCTGCTCCTCCTATCCTTCTCCTCCCTCCTCTTCCCTCATCCGCCTCCTCCACCCTTCCTCTTTCCCCCCCCCCACTCCTCCTCCTCCTCCTCCTCCGCCTCCTACCCCCCCCCCTGCTCGTTTTCAGATTCGTCGTCTTCAGGGTCGGCGGCACCGGCCGTAAGGCCTTCGCAATATTGTGGATCAAGTCGCCCGTGGCATCCGAATGCTGACGGGACTGATCTGGAAATAAAGCTCGAGCTGCCTGGACGCGTAGCTGGCCCAGAACTGGTTGCAGTCGAAACGTGTAGGACGCTCAATCAGCTCGAGCTCAAGATCCCATACAGTTCCGAAGCGGGACGAGACGACACGGGGCGCAGGGCGCATGGACGCGCCGCGGAATGTGCCAGGGTTGCACTAGAGGAAGCGCCAAGGGACGTGCCAGGGGACGTGGCAAGGGACGCGCCACGGAACGGGCAGGAAAACCACCAAGGTTCAAGCCAGGGAACACGACAGAGGACGAGCCAGGGGACAGGCCGAGGGGGGAGGGGCATACGCCGTCCCGCTCTGTCTGGGGCGTTAGGAACCCACGTGATCTCACGCGTGTCCCGCCCTGAGGCGTAAAGAACCCATGCGTTTTCACGCTTGTCCCGCTATTGGGCGTTATTAGCCCGCGCGTGTTCACGCTTGTTCCGCTCTGGGGCGCTAAGAACCGACGTGTTTTCACACGTGTTCCGCTGTGGGGCGCTAGGATCCCACGTTTTTCACGCTTGTCCCGCTCTGGGGCGTTAGGGACCATGCGTTTTCACGTGCTTCTGCAGTCCCAGAACTACCTGGGCATCCTCGTGCGCCGAAGTTCCTCAAGTTTCGCAAACAAAAAACAGCGTTTCGCTCGAGACATCCTCGACAGCTCTTCGCGCAGGACGCACCATCCTCGAGCGGGCACGCAGCACGTTAACATCTGCTCATTTCTGCAAATGCGAAGGGCCTCCAGACTTCGTTATAAATCAACGAACGATTCTGCCCAAAACGTGTTGCACCCTCTTGTCGCTAAGGAAAACGGCGGTCTGCGGAAAACGGCGGTCTACGTATCGACGACCCGAGATGGGAGAGCACACTTCCCTCGAGAATGCAAGCGCCAAACACCTGTCTTAAAACCATGGTCGGGCCACGAACCCGGAACGAGATATAGGAGTGCAGAGCATGGAGAGTTCCTCAAAGCACAAAGCTTTGGGCGACGGGCAACTACAATGCTCATGGTAGCGATGCTGGTGAACAGTGTCAGGGGCTATGAAGTGCTGTGTTGTGCGCTCAGCTGAGACGCGCCATGCCGTGTTGAATATGCTGTGCCCGATTGCATTTCGGATCAGGTCGGCCGTGGCGTCAGAATCCCGATCGAACTGATCTGGATATTAAGCTCGAGCTGCCTGAGCGCATAACTCAGATCTGGCCCCAATCGAAACGCACGGGGCGCTCGACCAGCTCGGGCTCACGATCCGAGTAAGTCCGGGAGTGGGGCAAACCGAAAGTGGGCGAAGCTGAGCAGTTCTGTGCTCTTTTGCGTCGTGGATCGAATCTTCCCTGGCATCCGAATCCTGACAGAACTGAGCTTGGCCTCAAGCACAAGCCGGCTGGGGGCAATGCTCGCCCAGAGCTGATTGCAATCGAGACCGTATGAAAGAATTGTGTTCAGCAACAGGGCGACATGATAAGGGCGAGTCCAAACCGAGGCGAAATGCATCGAGAAGGGGCGGGCCGAAACGCCGACGACGACAACGACGGCGGACGGCGACAACTGCGACAGCGGCTCCAGCTCGGGACTACTATGTTAGATGTCCGCCTGGATAGCCTGGACATGTGAAAACACGCTGTTCCAGCTCGGGGCCACCACGTTGGCTACCCCAGGGTGGGATCTCTGGACAATTACCCGTCGAAGAAACTGCGCCAGCCTAGTACACGCCTGGTGCCGGATTACCGGTTTTGTCCAGCTCGTGTGGGCCCCACGCTGGGGGCGCCCACACGACCACATGTTAGACAACCCCCTTCGGGTGGCCCGCGCACGTAGAAGCACCGGGTTCCAGCTCGGGGCAACCGTGTTAGATGCCCCTCTGGGTGGCCCGGGCACGTGAAACCACGTGGTTCCAGATCGGGGCCACGATGTGAGATTCCCGTCCAGGTGGTCTGGACAAGTGGAAACACGTCGTTCCACCTCGGGGCCACCCTGGTAGATACCTTCCTGGGCGACCTGGGCACAAAAAAACTTGGCTCCAGCGAGGAGCCATGGGGCAACCGTCTTAGGTACCCCCCCCCTGGGCGGCCTGGATACATCAAAATCACGTGGTTCCAGCTCGGGGCCACCATGTTAGATGCCCCCCCCTGTGACCTGGACACGTAAAACACCTGGTTCCAGCTCGGGACCACCGTGTTAGTTATCCCCCTGGGTGGCCTGGACACTCGAAAGCACATGGTTCCAGCTGGGGACAATCATGTTAGATACCCCCCTGGGTGGCCTGGGCACGTGAAAAACATGGGTCGGGCTCGGGACCACCATGTTAGATAACTCACTGGGTTGCCTGGAGACATGAAAGCATGTGGTCCCAGCTCGGGACCACCATGCTAGATATCCACATGGATGACCTGAACATGTGGAAACACGTAGTCCCAGCTCAGGGCCACCATGCTAGATACCCCCATGTAAAATCTGGGAAAACCACCAACCGAAGAACATGTGTCAAGCTATTACACAGCTGGTGCCGATTTATTGATCGTGTCTGGCCGATGCCCCTTCCCTGCAGGAGAGCCCAGAATCGAATCGACAAATCGGATCGGCGATCGAAATGGATCGGATCGGCGGAAATCGGCAGCCGAGTCGGGAAAAGTCGAATCGGCGGAAATCGGCAGCCTAGTAGGCCTTCGTTAAGATATCGGCGGAGCCAACATCGGAATCCGATATCGAATCGAATCGGAATCGGAAATAATCGAAATCGAATCGAATCGAATCGAATCGAAGGAATCGAAAGGAGACCTGTCCCTGGGCCGTCTTGTGGCTTTCTTGGGCCGCCCTGTTCGCCTCTTAGGCTGTCTTGGGGCCGTGGTGAGCTGTCGAGGGGGTCTTGGAGGCCTCTTGGGACATCTTGCGGGCGTCTTGGGGCATTCTGGGGCCACGTCGGGGCGGAACTCTCGCATGTTCTGTCCGCGTTTGCCCCCTGGGGGCGTCTTGGGGCCTTCTGGGGCCGTCTTGGGGCCGCGTCGGGCCGTCTGGGGGCGGTCTGGGGGGCGTCTTGAGCCGCCTGGGCGAGGTCCAGGGCGCCCGGTTGGGCGGGCTCGGCACGTCGGACGGCCGAAACGGCGAAGACGCGGAAAACCCAGAGTCCTGGAAAGGGGTATGGGAATGTGAGGCATGGGCATGTGTCAAGACACCAGATCTGGGCTACACCCTGCGAAATGCTTAAGAAATCATGGGTTAAGAAATTCATGGTCTCAGAACTTGAGTAAAACCCAGAACTTCTATCAAAATCTTGGGATTTACATTGGACAGCTCAGAATAATCGAGACTCTGGACGAAAACTTAGGTTTTCTTAAGCATTGCCTAAGGTGTACGGGCAATTGCAATTCCGCAGGTAGCTATGGTGATGTCTAGTGCCAAGGGCTGTGCTGTGCTGTGC